TTCCGAAGCACATTTTCGGGCATTTTGGGGGTCGTTTCAATTATGAAGAAGATTTTAGATGGAATCTCAGAAATTCCATGGGGCATATCAATGAACATATGATGCATTCAGGAGATCTTAAAAGAGAAAGAGTTGGTGATAATACAGACTTTTAGGGAAGACAATAACCTGGCTGATTTTTTAACTAACATTGTGTATGATTTTGTAGATACTGTAATGCAATTTTTCTCTAATGAAGATATGCTAATACAAGCGAGAACAATGATTCAAGAAGACAAGCAAGGTTTGGTTGAGCTTTGGTTGTCCTTGCTTGTCTTCTTGAATTATTGTTCTCGCTTGTATTAGCATATGTTCATTAGAGAAAAAATGCATTACAGTACCTACAAAATCATACACAATGTTAGTTAAAAACATATTCTTGAAGGCATTTCTTTGATTAAGTATCCGCACCTGGTGAGAGTTTTGAAGTGTAATCTCGATACGCAATCAAGGAATGTGGGCTTAGATGTGTCCTATATGCAAGTTACTTTCTATTTGGTCTGCTACTTATCTTGAAGAAATTCCAACATGAGGTTTCTTAAATTTGTTTATTGCAAATCTGATCTATCGACTAGGTGGTGGTATCAGTCTCATTGAGACTCAATCCACTAGTTATTAGAAAAGTAAAGCAAATAACAAACATAGGAGAAAAAAAAGGAATAACAACTTAACTTAATTAGGGCGGGATCGAGAATATGGAGTCTGAACAGTGAAGTTGTGGGTTGCTGGAAAGATGGTTGAGCTGTGAGTAAGAAGATTGGAGCAGAAGCTCCCCATTTTAGCTTATCTATTAGGCTTAAAGATTTAGAATTTGAATCCGATGACATAGAAAAACAATATAGACTAGATGGATTATAAGCTAGGGTGACCGACTTACCTAAAACAATTAATTCGGCGAAGAAGCTGAAGAAGAAGATTGATCGAAGCTGCAAATTCAGCACTTTCCTAATCTGATAATGTTCCTTTTTTGTTTTGATCTTTTATTTTCGTTTTTTAACTTTTATTCATTGTCTTCTTCTCAATCTCTCCTCGGTCACTGAACTGGGTTACTGAACTCCACCTTCTCGGAATCCCATTTCAGAAAGTCAGGTCGAAGGCAAATGGGTCATTCTCTTGAGTGGGCTGGGTTGTTCCAAACCCATTTGAGAGGTGAACATATTTATTTATTTCAATAAAATGGGTGACTTTGGCCCACTTTTAATTTTAAAAAAATCAAAGCTCAGAACAAAGAAATGCCAGAATAGAAATTATGGATCAAGTTAAAAGACTATTATTAACAAAACAAACAAATACTCATAGAAAGAATTATATGACAGAAAAAGGAAACAATCACTCTCCATAGAGTGTGGTATGCTATAATTCAAGCGTATATAGACCAAGATTGGAGAAAATACCTATGATACCCTGAACTAAGATGTAGTGGTATCAGTTCTCTTAAGCTCAATCTGCACGAGTTAAGGATGAATTAAGTTATTTCTTTTTATTAAGATTGATTCAGGAGATGTACAAGTGATTAGGTGTTTTACCTTGATAAATGAAGATGGTAACAATGTTGAACTGAAGAAGTCTTCACCAAGTCGAATTCATGGTGCTCGTGAGATTTTCAAACACCCAAATGAATACCACTCAATCTTAACGTAGTTCTGTCATGTTTGATTCAAAGAGAGAACAACTTTCGGAGTTCCATGAACGACCAACGTTGAACTAAAAGGAGCGTCGTTTGGTTTCGACATTTTCTTCTTGTTTTTGGTCGTTTCAACTTGTTGATGATTGTTTTTGTTTTGGGCTTGGGTCACTTTTGGACCTAAGTCATTTGTGTTTGAACCCTCTTGTAATTCATACTTATAAATGCAAGTAAGCAAAATACTTTCATTGCATGAGATTGTTAATTCGTCATTTCACATTCAACCCTTGTGTTTTTCCCAACATGCATTGTACATGTTTCACTATAGAGACAATTAACATGCATACATATATAAACTTGGAAAACAACAACCATCACCTGCCTCAAATCAAGCCTTGGAAGCTCAATTGAACTTGAGTCTTTCCCTTGTTATGAATCTTAGCTTGTTCTTGGTCTACAACAATTAACAAACATATAATCAGACCTAAATGATCTAAAAACACTCGAATTATACTTAAATTCCAAACCCTAGGCCATCCTTATGATCATCCCACCCAAATCAAAGTTTTTTCACCATTAATATGAATGACAATGGGGGTGGGGTGGGGGGGGGGGGGGGGGGGGGTTAAGGCTATAGGGGCAGTGCAAGTTTAAGGTTGTGCGCAGCGTGGAGGGATGTGGGGTGGGTTGAAGGGGTTTTTAAAAAACTAATGTGGGCGGGGCGGATTGCGGGTCTGTGTGAATTTATGAGGATTCAAACTTAATTTTAACTTTTTACATGTCATAAGAGTCATAGAGCATTATTTAATAAAATAGGTTCTTTAAAGTTACTAAAATATTCAAGATAGTAAATGACAATGGTACAATCAAAACTAATACACTTACTTACATGCGTCCCAATTGACCTTTAAAAATTTTTTGAGTCATTTTCTATTAAATTAATACAACTTAATGAAATATAAATTTATTTTTTGTATCAAACTTAACTAGAAAAGAAAAATATTAAAAAATTTATGCGAGCGCATTCATGCTTGGCGGATCTATCCGGGATGGGGCCGGTTGATTATGAAAAAAAATTGTTATGCGGGGCGAAGCGGAACAAATTAATTTTTTTGCAGATTAAGCTTAACACGCCCCGCCCCGCCCCTGTCCCTCACCTCCCCATTGCCATCCCTAACCATTTAATCAATCAAACCCCCCCTAAGATAACTCCCATGGATTCTACGGTCTAAGAATCGAATTATCAAGGTAAGGAAGTAATTAACTTACCTTTAGTGATGATCATGATGAAAACCAGACAAAATTCACCCTAGATCGCCCTTGCTCTTCCCAAAATGTGTTTGTAAAATAATGAGCGATTTAGGAAAAATTTCTGCATAAACTACAACTTACCCTATTATAGTGTTACCAACCTGCTATAGTGGTACGGATGTGGAGGCATCACCCGCTGTGGCAGCGTGCCACCTGTTGTATGGGCTTGCACGAGATAGAAACCCAAAAATCTTTCCCAAAGTTTACATTTCGCAACACACCTTTGAACCTTGATGTTCTAAACTAACCCCTTCACGCCAAGTACTATATCGGGAGTTTTACTTACCCTAATTCACTACCGAAAAGCCCTACGGACTCCTTAACATCTTAGCTAATGAAAAAAACTAACCCACACTTAGACATTTTACCCAATCCTTTCTCGGATTGCCCTAGACTTTACCCCACTTAGATTCCATCTGAGACTAGCCTAGCCTGGAATTTTCAAGTCATTACTCCAAAAGTTTTCTTACCCAAATTCTTTCACTATTGGTTTACTCATAATGATCGGAGGGGTCGTTACAATTTATAAATCATAATTAATAATGTTTATTTAGTAAGTAGGCGTTTGAACGTGTAACTTCATCTCGTTATTTGAAATCATGAGATTGAATCAACGTTTGAACATGTAATGAAATTATGAGATGAAATTTCAAATTCTCCAAAAAGCTTGATTTGGAAATTTCACATCATTATTTGACATTTTAAAATACAAAAATTGACCCACAAGTTATATTTTGTAAGAAAAAAAATCAGAGTTTTTGGCCAAAATACATCCTTAAACTATATTCCCAACTTAAACTACATCCTTAAATTATTTTTCTTAGCAGATAACATCTCTCAATTGTTTAAAATTTGACAACTTTCATCCTTTTGTTAAAATTTGTCAAAAATTAACAAATTCTTCACAAAAACATGTACAATTCACACTACTCTCAACAAAACTTCTTAAATCACCCTCAATAAACCAATTTTGTTCATTCTATATGCATCTAAAATAAAATATTGTGATTTTTTTTTAGCAACAACGTTTTGCATTGTCTTCCTTTTAATTAGCAATTTTGTTTTTATTTACTTTTCATTTGTTTTGATATAAAAAAATTATCCGTTGAAATGTTTTCTTCTCATTAAATCTGCAAAAATTGGTGTCGATCAGAGACTTTTACCTCTAATAATGAAAAACAAAATTCGAGTACTAGAGATCAAAATTAGCTATATCTTGATTACCTCAACTATCAGTTTGCCCCAAAAAATTATTGATCTAATGTCATTTTGACTTTGCAAGGTGAAGATGGTGTAAAACTAAGCTCCAACTCCATTCAGTTGGTAAAGGAGAAGAGCAGATAATGTCTCCTCATAGACTCGCACCATCCTAACATTATTTTTTTTTAACAACAAACAAGGGTCGCAAATAAAAAATTAATTTTTGGAATCTTTTTCCAAACAAATAATAAAATTATAGTTATTTTTTTATGAGAATAGTATGAATTGTATATGTTTTTTTTTTTTATGAAATTCGCTAATTTTTTGATAAGTTTTAATAGAGGGATGGAAGTTGTTAAGTTTTAAATACTTGTAGGATGTTTTTGTTAAGAAAAATAATTTAAGGATGTAGTTTGAGTTGAGGGTATAGATTAATGATGTTTTTAGTCAAAAATTCAAAAAAAATCATCATTTTATATCAACATAATATTATGCGAGTATAACAAAGGAGCTATGAAACATTCACAAAATATGAACATGATAACATAGTTACTAATGATATTGACCAATAAAACTACTCAACAAATTAGATGTTCAAACAAAATTTCAATTTTATCCATATAATTTCATATCAATATATCATTACTTACACGCCAAACGGACCCTAAATAATACTTTCTCCGTCTCAATTTTTATAACACTTTTCGAATTTCAAATTCAAATAAATTTATCTTTGACATTAAAATGAAAAGTGACACATAAATTTGGATAGAGGAAGTAGTAATTTGTTGTTGGAGCGCGAAGTAGAATGAACCAAATAAATTGAAATTGAGAGAGTTAAGAGCACAAAGTAGAAGTTTTGTCTAAGGAAGAAGAAATAAGCAGCAGTTTGAAGGCTCTCTCCCTCCTTACTGCGACGATGTTGAAAGTTAGTCGGCTTCTGCACCCCAGGTTCTCTGCTTAAACCCCAGCTGCTCTCTCTTGTCACAAAAACAGTAGACGTTTTTCTCTAAACCCCCTGCTTAAACCCTAGCTTTTCTTTTACATATGTATAACAGTGTAACTGTCCTCATTTTCATCCTACTGTTGCTTGAATCTGTGTAACCAACTCATACTTGAATCTCTGTCTCTCTCTACTGTTGAGTTTGTATAGATGCAAAATATATACTGATTAAACAAATGAATAGATGCTAAATATAACTTAAAAGCCGATGACTCTAAAGATAGGATATACCAAGGGTGTATTTCTAATGTTTTACATGGAAAATAAGTGGGTTTCTTATTTATGTTTGAAAAATATTATCTTGATAAATACTATGGGAGGTGAATGTTGGGTGGGAATGGGGAGCTATGGGGTTTGGGGCGACTTGTACAAGTTGTTTTTTCTATTTCCACTTGTGAAGTTGTTTCATTATTTTTAAGGAATTTGTATTCATAGAGAATATATTTTTTCCAAAAAGTTTGAACAACGAAATGCACCCCATGTAAATTGTAGGAAGTTGACCATGCTTAAATTACTATGAATCTATTTAAGACCCTACTCTCATGTTATGTTATGGAGGGACAGAGAAAAATAAGTCCATATTTGTAGCAATGCTCACTGTGTAAAATGCATGGTGAGGACATTACAAACACATTTTCATCCGTTGCTCATTCACCAAGAAAATCAGGGGTCTCATTTTCAACACAATACTTCTTGATGCTGGATACTCAATAAAATACCATTGACAATGTAGGAAAAAGGAATAACTGCTTAGCATGCAGATTGTGAATAAATTTTTTTAAGTAAAGTTGATAATTTTAAAAAAAGAACCTTCCTAATATGATGTTTTTCTCTCGACACAATAGGAATCAGTTGTTGCATAAAAAATTGCCTGGAGAGTGTGTCAAAGGTTCTATCTGGCAGCATGCCATCAACACTTTTGCGGGCTTTTCTACTGTTCGACAGAATGTTGTGGCTGATGGTATGAATTTTATTTTCAGATGTTCATGAAGTCTCAGTTGTAAACTTGATGCTGTAATAATCTTTTTGTCATATCTCTTGATAGCAGGAAAACGGGAAGGTCGAGTGTTTGCTCCCTACTCAGTATTTAAAGGCAAAGCAGCACTTTCTGCTGAACCTAGGCTGCCCACATTTAATAGACTGGATGTATGATCTTTATTACCTTTTTAAATAGAATTAGAAACTGGAGTTGCCTCTCTTCGTGATGTTGAAATGATGCATCCACTCATCCATTCTTCTTATTACAGTCTGGAGGTGTTAAACTCAATCGCCGAGGTGTCATTATGTTGACATTCTGGCCATCTGTTGGTGAGCGCAAATATGACTGGGAAAAGAGGCAGGTAATGTGCTTATACGGTTCTCTCTTATTATTGAGTACCACCAGCATGGTAGGAAACAAGTTTAGATCTTTATTTGTCCCCGAAAAGCTCTTCACATCACTATGCTGAGGGATTCTCGCAAGTGTTACAGCTAATTTTTTCTACATTTATGAGATAAAAGAAGAGGGAAATTGTGGCAAGTAACATCCACTGGTGCCTAGCTTGCAAAGACTGGAGATGAGCAACTTATTCCTTTTCATCCTCAATAGTTCCTCCCTATCAACAGACTTCCATACTTTATAATCTGTGCTGAACAAATTCAATCTGAACTTGCACATAACGACAGATATTAAGATACAGCAGGATATTATTTTCTTCTTTAAGAAGTTCCTGTCAGCTTTTAATTCTCTTCAAGGCTGTAAAGTTTTTGTTCTTCTTTGATGGTATATGAGCAGATTCCTAAGTTTTGACAGGATTGATTGGTCATGTTTGGATGCTTAGTACTTGGTCCTAGCATGAGCCACCAACTTATAGGTCTATAATACGCTTGAGAGATGGTACTTTCATAACTAGGTGAAGAAATTGCTTGTATCTTTCTTGTTAATGTTGTTTTGCTGCTTGGTTTTTCTTTAGAGTTATTAGTCATCTATAAATCTGTCTATTTTTCTTTCTTAAGTGTCCATCTGGATGTTAAATAAATATCCATCTCTATGTTTGTTTCACCACTCTCTCTTGCTCTTTCTTTTCTTGCACATGTTCACAAATTTGATGTACGATTTGACTGACAGATGACTCAACATATTGCAGTTGTTTGCTTATCAGCAACAGAGGTTGGATCATTGATAAGTATGGGGACCAGAGATTCTTCTGAATTCTTTCATGATCCTTCAATGCTGTCTAGGTTGATTTGCTGATACAGTTCTTGGCTATGGGCTATCTTTTAGTGTACATGTTTACATGCACTCACACACACACACACACACTTTTTAGTACAGAATCCTTGCATCCTACTCATTATTAGTTTCTCTTTATTCTCATCACTGTATAACTAAGCAGATGTTTTATGTTACAGTAATGCTGGTCAAGTTAGAAAGAGTTTGTCAATTAAGCCAAATGCTGATGGCAGTGGTTATTTCATTTCATTGAGTAAGTATCAGTCTATATGTTCACCTTTTTCAAAATTTTGCTTCCAACCAATAAGATGCATCACAATTTGTTCTGTAGTGATAGCTGTCCATGTTAAGGATCAATGATATGCTTAAAAGTAACTGTTTTCGCGATATGTTAAAACAATGATATATATGTTTCATCCTGTTCTTGTATGGCCTCTGGGTGTGTTTCTTTCGTAATTTGGCAAGCCATGTATTAGTGCACGTACTAATTGCAGCATTTGATTTTGCCCTTTATGCAGGTGTTGTCAACAATAATCTCAAAACCAATGATCGTTTTACTGTTCCTGTCACTACTGCCGAATTTGCTGTTATGCGAACAGCTTTCAGTGTACGATCTACTAATATGTTTCTGTTGTAAAAGAAATTATGCTTCTATTCAATTAGTTTTCCTAAGCACCCTGCTTTCTTATTACTTTGAGATGCTTCTGTTACCTGTTCTTATCCTAGCTCTGACTTCGTTAGTGAAATTTAATTGATGGTGAATGAACATTTTATATCAGGAAATGGAGCTGTGAGTAAGAAGTAAAACTTGTTGTCAGAACCTCATACATCACCAATATCTAGTGATTGTATTGTTTATTAAGAAAACATTTTGCCTTTACCTGGAAATGAAAATGCGTACAATCTTTTGAATTTGGCAATGAATGAACCTTATATGGCGGTCAATGGTGTGAATGCATTTGTTTTGAGAATTTGGTACATATTATCAAAACTTAGTTTCCCAAACAATTTTTTTTCAGGTTATTGATAGAATTTGGTCTATTTTTAGGGTCCTTTCTTAATTATTCTAACCTTTTTGACTTGTATGATTGAAACTGCTTAGTGTTATTTCTTTTTAGTTTACCCACAAGGTCCCTAGTTGTATTGGAAGATTGGGTGTTGTTTGTAGAAAAGGGCATCTTTTTGTAAGGTTTTCCACTTTTTAGTACAGTTCTTGAACACGAGCGTGTTTAACCCTTTAGTTAATAAAATTTCATTACTTCATTAAAAAATGATTAAACTGCTTAGTGCTTACAAGATGTGTACCTGCAGTTACATTGTTGTACAAAGTAATCACCAAGTAGAATGTCCTATACTGTTATGTGCCTAATACAAATATTTCTCCAGTAAGTTGCAGCTTCATTTTGACTTTGTCTGTGGTTCTCATTGTCTATTAATAATTTTGGTCTTCTAACTGTAGTTTGCGTTGCCTCACATCATGGGATGGGATCGCTTCACTAATCGGCCTTCAGAAAGCATCTCTCAAAGTCCCTCAAAGGTGGTTCCACAACTAATGGAGGCGGAGTGGGATAGATGAGAGTTTGTGTTTATTGTGTAGTAATCTCATTGTAGCATGAACTATGTTCTCTTTTGGTTGTGAAAGGAACTTGCTTGCCTAGTTAAATTTTTGTCCAGGTGCAATGTAAACTTAGAAGCTATCTGGTTCTCTTGCATCACAGGTTGATTTTGTCGTATTGCTCTAAACTTCAAAAATGTATTTTCGGATTTGAAGCTTCAGAGAGTATATGTTATGTAGTGTTGATCAATCAATTATATTCTGTTAAAATGGAGCAAGTAATGTCTCAAGTTATTTTGGCTTTCTATTCTATGTGGGATTATAAATATCTTTTAATGAATTGTGCCATATGTTCATGCTTCTACTGATGGATTGGGATGACAATATTGCAGTGTGGGTTGGTGGTTATACTTCTTACTAGTTTTTCGACATGTGCGTTGCACGTGATTACCAATTTAGAAAATATATGTATAGTAAATAGTATTGCTTATTTAAGCGAAGATATGAATAATAAGCTTTGCACAAAATAATATTGTCGATTTTTTGTGAATGCTCAATGTGGATCATCATTTATATCTCTTATTCACGCGAACTATGAAGATGGTCAACGAGAATTTTTATTAGTTAAATGCAATAATGCATATAGTATTTCAATTTACTGAGGTTCAATCATGTAATTGGTCGTATCTCAATAATATTACCTTATAGATGATATTTGTTGTGTATTTTTCTTGTCATCTAACCAGATGTGTTTGCACGTGTATTTCACGTTAAACTGTTTGGATGTCATATGAACATGTGAAAAGAACAATTACATTTTATTTTAGAACTAATTTTTGTATATTAATTTTTATTTTATATGTTATAACATAATCAATGACGTTCTTGTTGTTGGCTCTCATATTTTACTTCTCGATTGACTGTGTAAATAAATCAAAGCTAGTTATCTGACTGTCTATAGTTAACTGAGAAAGGCTTCCTCTTTTTTTTTTTTACCGGAAAAGCTAAAAACTGAAATTAAAGAATAAATTATATCTGTGAAATCCTATATATAATCACATGTTTATCTACACCTAACAAAGATGTAGTTCATATACTTGTAAACAATTTTCAATTTATTCAATCAAGCATGATTCGTTCAAGGAAAAATAACAACACCGTGTTATCACATATATAGGGGCGGTATAATAATATGAAAAATTATTGATAAAAAATTAAGATAAAAAAGATGAAAGATAGAAATAGTTAATGTAATAACTATGATAATTCATAATCATATAACTAATGAATGTTAAAAAGTGTGAATAACATATTTAAATGATTCATATATATTCACATATTTTCGCATTGGTTGTGAGTTTTTATTTTATTTTTAAAAGAACTCGAAATAATTTAAAATAATATATTTTGATGTTAGAAGATCTTGTTAACTTGATAATACATTTGTGACATATATAATACTTTAGTTTAAATTAAAATACCTACCCAAATATATATATATATATATACATACATAAGTCATATGAATTTTTCTTCGTCTAAAATATTGTAATATTAAGAAATAGTAAATAAGTAAAACAAAAGGGCAATGTTTATATAGTAATGACTAATTTGAAGCAAACTTCATAACATTCTAAATCATATAAGTAACATTGATAAATAAAGTCATTATGTTGTATTGAGTATCAAAAAAATAAATTGTGACAATTCTCTAACTCTTGAGAAGTTTAATAATTTTGAAAAAAGATGTTCAGAAGTTTATATTTACATCACAAGAGAAATTGTTAAAAAATACAAATGAATTTAGACTATATCATGTTACCTTCATATTGGAACATTACATACTAATGTGTATATTAGGCAAATTGATGACCTTTTGGTAGTACCAATCAAGAAGTTCATCAGTCAACAACTCCGAGGAGAGAAAACAAGGCAGTTCACTCAAACATTAAAGATCACTATCAAAAGGGGAGGTAAAGACAACCGTATTTTGACAATAATAATGACCATTTGTTCCTTCACAAACTGTTAAAAAATAGGAGAGAAGGTGAAGATACAAAATGCAACGTAGTGACACCTGAGAAATATTGAGTGAAGGGAAAGGACCGATGGTTTCATGTAATCCTCAAGATAAAATTTCTCCTCTTTTTGCTTAATTCTTCTATTGTTGGTAGAACATTGAAGCATATCATCAAATGAGAGTTAACACCACAATCATGCACTTAGTAAGTTACAAATGGACCACAATTAGCAACTGATTTAATTTTGATATGATAAAATTATTGCAGAAAAGGCAGCACTAGACTGTCATACAACTAATGGCACAAGTAATACACCGACAAAAATGTACATTTTCTGTTTTCACCAAAAAGAAATCTTTCTTTCCACTCACAACTCGACAGTAATCAACATATACTAAGAGCAAAGGCATCACTTACAACCTTGTTCGAACTCACTCAATGACAATAAATCACACGAAATATTTTAAAATGCACGAAGACGAAAAGTAGAAGATTACAAAAAAATTGTGGTTTAAAAAAAAAGAGAGGACGCCTCTCTATTTATAGTCAACAAAGGGTGGTATGAGCAAGTATTTTTTTTTGTGTCTTATCTGAAAAGTCATGACCTTTTGAGAAGTCACAACACTTTGGAAAAGTCACAACTTATCGAAAAATCACAACCCTTCGAAAAAAGTCACAACTTATCAGAAAAGTCACAACTCATCAAAAAAGTCACAACCTAAGTTAGGCTATTATAGTAATTTAACATTCAAGTTAGGAGTTCATGCTTTTAAGGTAATAATATAATATAATATATAAAAGATATAGATATATTTGCAATAACAAAAATATTTATCCCATAAAAATTAGCTATTAAATAAATAATAAATATTAAACTATACAAACTTCACATGGTGTTATTATAAGTCATATGATCTTTTCTTTGTCTAAAATACTAAAATATTAAGAAATAATAAATCAGTAAAATAAAAGTGCAATGTTTTTATAGTAATAACTATTTTGAAGAAAACTTCATAACAATCTAAATCACATAAGTAGCATTGATAAATAAAGTCATTCTTTTGTATTGAGCATCAAAAAGACAAATCATGATAATTCTCTAACTCTTGAGAAGTTTAATAATTTAGGAAAAAGATATTTAGAAGCATTTATCTACATCACAATAGAAATTGTTAAAAAAAAAAGTGAATTTAGACTACAACATGTTAACTTCATATATTGGAACATTACATACTAATGTATATATTAAGCAAAAAAATAATTATTATATCATCAGAATTATTTTCCTCAACTACTCCAGGTTAAGAAATATACCCTCTTAAGATAGACCAATTTACCTCATCAGAATAGTTGTACCTTATATTCCGCTAAAATTCGAACTCACTCAACGACAATAAATGACACGAAATTTTTTAAAAATGCAAGAAGAAGAAGAGTAGAAGATTAAAAAGAATTGTGGTTGAAAAATGAGAGCAAGCCCCTGTATTTATAGTCAACAAAGGATAGTATGAACAAACATTTTTCATGTCTTATCTGAAAAGTCATGACCTTTTCGAGAAGTCACAACCCCTTGGAAAAGTCATACCTTATTAAAAAGTCACAACTCTTTGAAAAAGTCACAACTCATCGAAAAATCACAACCCTTTGAAAATAGGCATAACTTATAAAAAAAGTCACAACTTATCGGAAAAGTCACAACTCATCGAATAATCACAATCCTTTGAAAAATGAGAACAAGCCCTTGTATTTATAGTCAACAAAGAATAGTATGAACACACATTTTTCGTGTCTTATCTGAAAAGTCATGACCTTTCTGAGAAGTCACAACCCCTTGGAAAAGACACCTTATTGAAAAGTCACAACTTTTTGGAAAAGTCACAACTCATCGAAAATCACAACCCTTTGAAAATAGGCACAACTTATCGAAAAAGTCACAACTCATCGAATAATCACAACCCTTTGAAAAAAAGTCACAACTCATCGGAAAAGTCACAACTTAAGTTAGGGATATTATAGTAATTTAACATTCAAGTTAGGAGTTCATGTTTTTAAAATAATATAGAATATAGATAAGAAACAAATTAACCCTTCTTTGATCCTAAAAATTCAAATAAATGAAGAAGATGATTATTTTCTTTACAATGTTGTGGCAGAATATTTTAAAACACCATCTATATTTTACAATTTACAAAAATCCATAAGAATATACAACCAAAGTGGATAGAGATAACTGAAATATACTCCATAAGAATGAACAAAATTAAAGATAATGGAGATGAAGCTAAGGTTGACATAGCAAAGGATGGGGAGAAGTGAAAGAGATCGAGGCGATGAACATAAATGAGTTTACGATTCCATGGCAATATGGGGCGGAAGTGCAGGTTCTATTTCATGATCAATCTCAAGTTGACTGTAATTGCCTTTCTCTTTGAAGAGTTGAATGTGATGATGCTTGCAATAAAGTGTTCCTTCATGTGCAATGTAGTTTGATGGACTTATAGTACAACCTCCATGAGTGCATTTGAAGCAAGTCTTGTGGTATGCTGCTCCATTCACAGTAACCTTATGTAACACAAACAAACATATTCAATGACATCTATATTTATAATAAAGGGAAAAAGGATAATTATACCCCGAACTATCGTAAATGATATACAGATATCCTCCGTCATACTTTTGGGATATTGGTGCCCCTGCCGTCCAAAAACTAGAACATACATATCTTTTATACTAACGGACATACACGTGTCATAATCTTATTCATCGACCCAACATTTATTAAATATCTGATCGACGGATAAGATTGCGCCACATGTCCCTATTTAGTTTTCCGTTAGAGTGAAGGGCATATATGCTCTAGTTTTTGGACGGTAGGGGCACCAATGTCCAAAAGTATGACGAAGGGTATTTGCATACCATTTACGATAGTTCGGGATATATTTGTTCTTTTTTCCCTATAATAAATGAATGTATATATATTGGTTATTACCTTCTCAATGGGATATACAGTTTTAGTGCAGCACACACATTTTTCTCTGGTGCCTGCGAATAAACTTGAGACTTTGGCGCCAGTACCATTCTGTGTTTTACATGACAAAGTTGAAATAAATTATAAAGCAGAATGACTGATTATATATACAAGAAATTAAATGCATTCAAAACATTACCTCGTTATCCACAGATTTTTCTGGCTTTGTGATCTTTGGAGTTCCTGGTAAAAGACAAGTTGATCAAATACTTTAATTATATACAATTATTTCTATTTTTGTATGTATTTCTTCGTTATACCTTCAAAACTCTTGTCCAAACTGCCAGTTCTCTTAAAAAGCTGATCAAAATGAGGCCTGCAGTATATTACTCCTTCAAAGGAATTGAAATTGCTGAGCTGAAATAAGTAAAGAAAAATAATAGTTAGATGTCTCAACTGCGGTATGCATCATATTTGTTTGTCAAAAGAAAAAGAGAGAAAGATTATGTAAAAGCAATAGATTAGTATGAGCCTTTTGCATACAAAGATGGATGATATATACCTTGAGAGTACTTTTACAATGGTAGCACCTGAAACAGGCTTTGTGATAAATGCGATTATCAGCAGCAAGACGATCCACTAGATATACCGTTTTATCACAAGCATTACACTTTTGTGTTGTTCCAGCAAATGTCATCGTAATTAGATTATTGTTTTTGACGAAAAGAGTTGAAGACAGAGAACAGATATCGGAGGATGAAATCAATTTTCTTTCCCTCTGTTCTCTTCCCAAACTCCTCTCTCTCTCTGTCTCGCTCGCTCCTTCTCTCTCTATCTCTTGCTAAACTTGATTATTATCAAAGAGCTTAAATAAATTTTGGACTAATGAAATATGTTTGTAGATTCATAGTAATTTACGGGCCATGATAGATATTCCATCATTTTCTCATTAATTATCTCCTTATACCAAGCTCTTCCACTCCCATAATAAAAATTGTTAGAAGTAGATGACCATAGTACAAAAAAAACACACAAATCCAAAACTCGCCTTAAAAGGATAAGCGGTTATTGTAAATATATTGTAGAGTCTAGAATAGAACCCATACTATCTCCTAATTGTAGAATGATATCCTACAATTACTCTCTTGAATTAATTTTTTCTAATAATTAATAAACTTACAAAGACTCCAACAAAATCGAGTTATCCCTAATTTCAAATTTTAAATTCGATCAAAATGTGGTGCAAAAATTGGCTAGGAATCATAGTTCTTTGGCTACTGTTGATGGAGTCTCAAAGCTGCATGGTATATGTACTAATGAGTTTGGGACTGATACGTTCGTAGATTCAACTCCTAAATCTACTTTGATTGGTGAGGAGGTAGTAAAAGAGGGTGCGGACCATCAAGTAATACCTGAAGCTTCAATTTTACCAAATGAAAATTCCATTGAGAATGATTTGTAGCTTGGAAATCGAGGTGATATGAGCACAAGTTCAGGTGATAGAGCTTTTTGTACACCTATAAAAACAACACAACATCAGAGGTCGAAGAATCCAAATTTGACGTAGCAAGTCGATGTTTCTGGCATTGGAAATTTTAATCACGAATCTTTAAATAAGGTCCCCCAACATGTTGAAAAATCGGTACATCAAGCCAAGAAAATTGTAGTTTCAACTGCTATGAATACGAATGAGGACGTTGATGACTCATTAGCAATAATGCTGGACAAGGATTTGAACAAAGGGAGAGGAACTTGCAGCAAAGAGAACTGGAACATGGTTATACATAGGAAGGCATCATCTAATGTTTCTCCAGGTTCGCGAAGTAATTCATCAAATGACCTATTATGCTCGAATAGTTTTGATGCTTTCTTGAAGGATACCAGAAATGATGGTAATGTTATGGCTCCAACATTACACATTTCTAATCCTGAAGTAAATAAGATTATTCAAGAATGTGAGGTTGCCATGGCACTCAAATCCAATTTAGCGATCAAGCCACCCATAGTCACTTTGAACACCTTAGCTCACGAGGTCCCTTCCCAATCTTTGGAGTCGTTTAGGGAACTTCAAGGTGAATCTGGACAACTCATTTTGTCCAAAGGGAATGACAAAGATTTGGTGAAAGGTATGTCATCACTTTCTCAAGCTAATCTCACAAATAATTTGATTATTTCAAAGGAAAATCAGGGGGAGAGGAGTGCTCCTAGGTGGGCTGATTTGATTGATGAACAAGTGCAGGTCTCACCTCCTATTTTGAATGGAAATTTAAGTCCACAAGCTTTAGAATTTGTGCCTAAAAGTGTGATTGCAAAGAAGAATGAAGTAGAGGCCTTAGCATCATGAGTTAATCCCACTAATGCTTATGATATTGATTTGGGCAATAATTCTTTTGATGAGGATGAGGAAGATAATATACTACACGAATGTTTTGATAAAGTGGCTAGGGATGGGGATATCTCACCTAGGCATCAAAGAAGTGGAAGTAACAAAAGCAAAAGAAAGACACATGGTAGGCAACACAGTTGGGATGGTAAAGTGTCCGGGGAGTTTGTTCCAAGGCAACTACCTATGCGACTGGCAAAGCAAAATCATATGACAGTGTCAACAGATTTAACAAGTTCCAATCAACCCAAGAAAAAGTGATGAACTATCAAGTGTTGTTGGACAGATTTGAAGAAGAAGACAAAAGGAAAATACTTTAGGTTACTTTAGACGGGCAACCTATTTTTTTTAATTCATACATTTGTAAAAGGAAGGTTGAGGTTGATAACACAACTTTCTTCTTGGCTTTTATATTTTTGCATTATTTAAGTATCATCATTTGTAATATCATCATAGAGTATGTTACTAACTTAATGATGGTCGTAAAATACCTAGTTCTCTCTAGTGCTTATTTTCTTCATGCTTGTTAATTAGTAGAGATTCATAACCTTATTAGGAATGGAAAGGTAAGGCCTAGCCCCCCTTGCTTGTACTTATCCCTATTGAGGATTTTTATATTTTTATATTTGAGTGTCTAGTGGTATATTTTTTTTTAAAAAGTTTTAAATTTGAAAAGTGGTGGTTTTCATCGAAAACCTAATCTTATAGTCTATTCCAAGTAAATCAATATAGAATAACACATGTTGTGATTAAGAAAATATGTTGTCAATAAATTAACTTAATTAGAGAAAATCATAGATAAGAAGTTTAGCTACACATGTTCATACTTAGAAACAAAAGCCTATACTAAAAAAAAATATTCATCGTAATAAAAATTAGTATGTGTATAGAAAAATTCCTACATCTCTACTAGTGGGAGTTAGTAGGTGTTATCTTTGGGTTCCAGGGTAAGAATTGGCTTACCTACTGATGGGAGTTAGTAGGCATTATCATGATCTGAGTTTTTGGATTGTAACAGACATTTTGCTATAGAATTTGTAATGCTCTTTGGATGAAGTTGACAAATCTGTAGCAAAAAAGCAATGTATCAAATTCCACCCAACCCGTGAGCTTTCACTCTGCTTCAATCAAGCATTTGGAATCCAAAATGAATCATATCTCGGATCAAATGAATCCAAAAGACAAAGGTACGCTCCTAAATGACACCCTCCCAAATCCTAAAAATAATGACCATTGTATGACAATAGTCACTAGAAGCATAAAAATGCTTAATGATGTGAATGTTGAACCCAATCAGGTTGTGATTGAAAAAAGTGATGATGGGACGAAGTTGGAAGTACCTACGCCATGTTTGGCGGATGATCTTGTGAATGATGAGAATGCATGTGGGGAAGAAGAAAGAAGTATGAGCCTCCTAGTGTGGTGGTTGATGTTAAGGGAAACAAAGGGGATAAAACCGCTAAGGGTGATGCGCCTAAGTGTCCCCCGCCATATCCTCAAAGACGGTTCAAGTCAAGAAAAAAGAAGACTACCAATTCAAAAAAATTATTTATTTATTTAACAAGTTGTATGTGAACATACCTCTAGTTGATGCTCTCTTACAAATGCTTGGGTATGCAAAATTCATGAAAGAGTTGTTGAAGAAGAAACGTGTGATTGATGTGGGCACGGTTGAGATGTCCCACCACAGTAGTGTTGTGATGACAAGCAATCTAGCTCTGAAGAGAAAAGATTTGAGAGCATTTAAAATTTCGTGCACCGTCGGGGGTGTACCTATTCAACAAAGTCTTGTGTGACCTTGGGAAAAGTATCAACTTGGTGCCCTTAGCGATTTGCAAAGATCATAAACAAACTTTGTTTTATTAATATGAAAAAAATAATTAATTTTTTGAACAAGGAAATAAATAATTTTTCTTATAATTTTTTTTGAATAAGGATCACTGAATTCGAGAAGGACTGCATACGTATCTCATTGAAGTGAGAATTAAATGTGTATAGTTCGCGAAGATCATATTGTTTTTTTAATAAGAAGTAGAAACTCTTTTTTTATTTTGCTTTTCTGAACAAGGAAGTAAAATGATTCTTCTTTTTTTAAAAAAAATATTTTAAAGAAGGATCACTAAATCCGAGGAGGGATCTCTAGTATCTCATCAAAGTGAGAATCAAGTGTGCATAGTTCGTGAACCTCTTAAACAAATATTTTTTTAATAAGAAATAGAAACTCTTTTTTTAGGCTCTTTCGAACAAGGAAATAAAACTTTCTAGTCCTCCTTTTAAAGTTTTTTAAATAAGATTAATTAAACTTGGGAGGGATGCCTATGTATTTCATCGATGTGAGAATCAAGTGTGCATGATTCATGAAGCTTCTGTAAAAATATTTGACCTTTTGAAAAATTTCTTTAATTTCGGACATGTTATTGCAAAAAAAAACGCTACAACCAAACTCTTTGAGATTTGACCAAAAAATGAGAATATTCTCTCTTTTTATCATTTAATTAATTTATTCTAAAGTCAATCAACATTAAAATAAAGTCTTTCAAATAATATAACAAATAACACAATAGTCATGAACATGTTGATCTAAAAAATGATTCATGTCCTAGATGAATCCGATCCCTATATTGAGTCGCACTAAATCAAATGGACATGATGGAAATAAAGTAGAGCCTATAATGATTAACCATGCCATGAGTCTCATTCCGTTAGATTTAACATCCTTTTGGAATAGGCGTCTAAACTGGCTATAAAATAATTGGACAATTTGAGTTGAAAAGGGACAACTTACTAGTAGTGCTTTCTCACTTCACTATTTGTTCTCTCCATCCTAAAATATGTGTGACTATAAAAATCCTTTCCGGATTCGTAATTATATCTTTGATATCTCAAAGAAAAGTTTGGGAGCACAATCACACTTCTAAGTACACAATGTGTGTTAAGTGTCTGCCAAAAAACTCCGATAGGCGCATGAGAATACAGTTTAATATTACAATTCAAACAATATCAAAGTAGTAAATAAGTAGGCATGTAGCACATTAAACCAAACTATACAAAATAATTAAATAAATTAATAAAATTCATAAACAAAGTCAATATTTAGAAGCTTGAGTTCTAATTATTCTTAGCAGACTCTTCATCTGTCACACTTCTTTTTTTTTTTCTGCTAAAAGAATGAAGTTTAAAATAATTTTATTCAATTAAATTGATTATTTTGAAAATATATTATTTTATTTAGAATTTCCACTTGGAATTGAGATTTGAATCTCAAGTAACCTTATTTGAATCTCTAATAAAAAATTACTCTATTTTTATCGGTCTACGAACTAGAAATTCAGGTAAGAAATTAGGTTAACGAAAGTGAAGGTATCAGACAACTCTCGAGTGCCGTGATTTTAGAACAATCACTTATATATTTGGCTTCACTTAATTTTTAGATATATTATGCTTATGCGACTAGAAAGTAGAAATTATTTATGTCTCGCCTTCTTTGATTCATTTTAAACATGTTTAAACTATCTTATTTGTATTAAGGGATAAGGGTCTGAAAAATATCCAACTTTGGTCGGATTTGCTGTTGCGATACTAAACTTTCATGAG